ATCACCATCGTATCACCACCATTGTATCACCATCACCATCGTATCATCACCATTGTATCACCATCACCATCGTATCACCACCATTGTATCACCATTGCATCACCATTAATTATTGATTTATTACTTGATTTGGCGATGGTTTGTATTGCTGGCTTTCACTTGACGTCATTTCCTGTCTCGTGCGGAATATGCTCATCAGCGAAATCGCAAGTTTTCAATAGAATTCTTTCTGGCTGACAACACATGGTGGTCAGTGTTTGACCACCATGTGAAGCAGATAATGAGATTCGAAAACTTTTATCAGCTGGGTGAAAGCACAGTTATTTATTAATAGAAAGTTTGTAAAACATGAATTGTGAATGTAAATGTTTTTGATATATGAAATGTTTTTTTAATAGTGCTTTTGGCTATCCTCCTGTCATTGGCAGCTCATGCCATGGTTGCCTTTACATTTTGGAATCCCTTCATTGCTATGGTAACCACTGTCATCTTATTTTACAGTAATGATAAAAGGGTAAATTTTACACCATGAAAAGATGAAAAAACAAGACAAAATAAACCAATTAGAACAAGGTGGCAAGGAAACGAAAGAAACAATCAAAAGACGAATCAATCATCTTTATGATATTCGCAATAACAATCTTACCAAACCAGTTTCCCGCCATTTTAATCAAGCTAACCACTCTCTTTCTGACTTCATTGTTTTCGGTCTTTCTTTGATTAACGGCAACAGTGATTGTCGCAAGACCAAAAAAATGCGGCTTATTCACCTATTGGGCACTCTTAATCCCAACGGGTTTAATGAACGCTTTGCTTTTAACTAACCCATTCTTTTGTCTTTTGATTGTTTCTTTCGTTTCCTTGCCCACCTTGTTCTCATTGGTTTCTTTTGTCTTGTTCTCATTATATAAACACTCCTTTCTACCACCTCTTTCTCTTTTACTCCGACGAAGGACTAGCGTCCGAAACGTCAGTAAATTTTTTCATCTTTTTCATCCTTTTCGGTGTAAAATTTACCCTTTTATCATTACTGTTTCATTAGAAACACCGACGCAGCTCACACTAGTTCTTAGCTAGTTATCTCATCTTATTTTACAACAAACTTGTATACACTTATTTCAATAAAGTTAGTCACCTGAAAAGCTACAAAGCTGAGACCGACAAGGATTATAGGTAGATACATTTTACATGTTTTAACCACTTGATAACTGTTGTTGGACTTGAGATATTTTACCAGTTACAGTCTCACCTCCTCTGAGCATCCTCAACTGCTGCACGAGTTTGTGTCAAAAGCTTTTCTTGTTGAATATGAAATATTTCCCATTATTATCAGCGATCACAGCTTTCTAGGTTTTTGGTGACTAACTTTATTGAAATAAGTAAATCTGGGGGCTAAAATTATTATCGATTAATTGCAACTTTCGTTATTTATTTATTTCTAGAGTATTCTTGGTGTAGGATACTCTTTATTGGCTTGTGCATTATGGCCTCTTGTCTCCCTAGTTGTCCCAGAATATCAGCTTGGCACAGCTTATGGATTGTAAGTATATGATATAATAAACGATTACAATTAATCGACTATATATCGATATTACATAAAGTTTTCACTGTCCAATTGTTTACTGAGTTGCGAAGTCAGCTCTTGCAACAAATTTTACTTCCAAGACGCAAAAAATCTTTCTGCTGTGCGGCAGAAACATTTCATGTTTCCAAGACGCATGGAAACATTGTTTCCCGATGTTTCCTGACAGTTTTGCCACCTTAGGAAACATTTTAGGGAAACGTGTTTCCTCGTTTAGCCATGGCCTTACAATAACGAATTGGAATTTTCTTTTGCTAGTATGCAGTCCATCCAGAACCTTGGTCTAGCTGTTATTACCCAAGTTGCCGGTATCATTGTAGATAGCAATGGATACTTGATTCTAGAAGTTTTCTTTATTGGATGGCTGTGTGGTAAGAAATGTATTCTTTTATATAAATGGCCACTTCACTAATACGAGCACAGGCAGCCCAAACAAAACTAAACGCTCTCACATCGCGCTGAAACTTCACTATGTGACTAAACATCTTTTTCAAAGAAACCTTCGGATTTTGATCCTGTAGTGATCGAAGGAAAAGAATTACAAATAGTCGATAGTGTGAAATTATTAGGCCTAACGATAAGTAGTAATCTTACATGGAACGACCATAAAGCAGAAATAACTGGAAAAGTAAGTAAGAGGTTATACTTCTTAATACAGCCAAAGCGAGCCAGAATTCCATCACAAGATTTAGTGTTGTTCTATACGACATATTTAAGATCATTAATTGATTATGGTATTCCTGTTTTCTATCGTGCACTTCCACAGTATTTGAAGAACGAGCTTACACGCTTAGAGAAAAGGGCTGTCACACTCATTTTAGATCATTACGATTATTTATGCTCTAAGCTTTTTAACGATTAGAATATGAATGCATGTGTTGATAAATATACATTATATATCCTTTTATCATTTTATTAGTGTAGTTTATAACTATAATTATTATATATTTTATATTCTTGTAAATTAGGTTTTATATTTCATTCATATTTTCATTAGTAAATTGAAATTACGTAATTCAGCCATGTGGCTGCAATGTAATTTTTTAATAAACTATCTAAAATATCTATATTCAAATTGGTCGCCATAATTCGATTCGGTGTATAAACCATACTGAAAAAAACCTCGTTTGGGCTGCCTTCTATAAAACTGCCCTTGATTGTTTGGTTGTTTGGTGGCAGCTGGAAGAACGATGGCAACAACAATAGCGATATTTTTGTTGATATTGTATTGCGTTATAGGTATGACCAAAGATGTAGTAATATAATAGTGTAATTTTGGGATAATAGTTGTATATTATTATTTTTATTTTCCCCAGTGGCGCTGATCGCTGCTATTTTCTTATATCTTGTGGATGCCAGTAAAGGTAATAAGCAGCTTATGATTTGCGGATTTGTTTGATCTTTAACATGAAGTTCTGCTAATACTGGTGTCTTATTTAGGTGGTGCTCTTAACCTGTCCTCTCAAGAGCGAAGAAAACTTGCCTTCGAAAGTAAACCTGCTAAAGCGTTAGTATTGTTCACATAAGCCATTTTCTTTAAAAAATATTATAATTTTGAAATATTGTAAATTTTCTTAAATACCTAACTAGAGTGAAAGCAATTAATCCGTGAAACACTAATTACTAAATAGTACAAAATGGTGCTAATTAAACAATGGAAAACAATGGAATTTGTATGAAATTGTTCTATTTAGTATTACTAAAGTTTCACGGATTTACTGTGGTCACTCTACTGAGTTTTCTCTAAACTGCTCCAAACCAAAAATGAGACTTAGGTTGTTGGTGAAGTGTCGGCCAACAGTAGGCCTATTGCCAATGAACACGTGTGGGTTGTTCATAAATTACATATTTACCTATTTATTGTTTCCCGTTTTTTTTTTTGACAACAGGTCATTAGGTGATGAAGAGTCAGTCAGGAGTGAGGATTCTTTTGCTGGTGTCAGTCCTATTGTACCTCGCTCAGCAGCCCAACTGCGCATGCGTTTCCTGTCACGTGTTGGCCAGCAGGTTGGTAAAGAACATCATTTATTGCACTTAGCCGTCTGAAGATGGGATGAAACATAACATTGGCACTGCTAATTTACGAGTGTCAAGTTTACATCACCATAAGTGGTATTGGTTGATCATATCAAGACCAAATCATTTGTTGACGTTCAAGTAGTTGCAGCTATTGGTTGTTGTTGTTGTTTCTTGTGGTGGCGCGGCCCAGATCTCGATGGTAGTGCTGCTTTTGTATTTGTAGCTGCTGCTTCTGCTGCTGCTGTCTTAACTGTTCATATTATTACTGTTGTTACGGTGTTTTATGGTATTCATGTTGTTGGCAGTGGTGTCGCAGCTATGATATTTGTGATGATGTTGTTGTAGTTATGGTTGCTTTTTTGGTGTTCATATTATTGCTGTTGCAGCTGCTGTTATTGTATTCATGTCGTTGTCAGTGGTGTCGCATCTATGATATTGGTTGTGCTGTTGTTGTAGTTATCATACGTTTTTTTTCCCTATTAGTATTCTGGTCTTCTCAAAGTGAATCAAATATTTCTTATTTTCTTTAGTATTTTCAGATACCAGAGAGTCACAGGTCACATCCCTTGGCTTATCCACACGTATTGAAATAATGCTCACCTACAATAACGTAGACAAACACATATGAAAAGAAATCCATTTGACTGTTGCTATTTTAACAAACTGACGAGTCATTTGGATTGGAATCGAGGAGAAAATGTTAGATAATTATTGAAAATATTGGGATTGAGTCAAACATAATGCGGCTAGCTTGTCAAGCTTCGTGACAGTAGAGTGAAGACATTAAACCCGAGAAATAAGAAATACTAGTCAAATGTAATAGTCAAATAGACACGAAATAGAACAGTAGAATTTAGGTCTACCAATGCTATATCTATTTAATGGGTTTAGTGACTTCACTCTAAAAAGCGATAATTTTTGGAGTGCAACCACGTTACCGAAAAATCCCTTGAAATATAACCTGAAATAACAATGAAACAGTTTTCATCTTGGTTGATCTAGCCAGATAAACTAATGAGGAATGCTTTGTTATCGTCAACCAACATGGCGACTATACACTTGATTCTTACGTTAAAGTACAAATATTATTACCATGAAATTGCATGCTCATTTAATAGAACTAGAGTGGTTTTTGATAAACCCGTTAAATAGATATCTTTCATTAGTTAGTGTGTAATAGTGAAATGACAACAAAAGAGCACAATGGAATTAGGTTCTACTAATTTGTATTGGGCTCGTGGTGCGTATTTCACGGCTTTATGAAAACCACTCTAATAAGCACTAAATCCATTGTTTTCTCTTGTTTACTTAGCGCTATTATATTATTTGCATTCTATTAGGAGCATTACTTAAGGCCATTATTTTTGGCAAAAACTGTGGCGAGAAATCGTTGCCCGCCCCTGGGAACCCGACAAAAAAATGTAGCCCTCCCCAAATTTGAGTTTAAAAAGTTGTGTTCCACCAATATTGTTCTGTAGTTAACCTATTGTAGCTTAATATAAATGAGGTGGTTTGTTTGGATTAAACCTGTGGAGACAGCGTGCGTTAAAGTCGCTGGACGCCCAGAACATTTAGAAACTTTGGTTAACAAATATCTATTATTGCTATTTTGGCCACAGGTAACCCACTTTTATAAGAAAATGTATGTAGTAAATAGATTTTGGAAATAAAACTTCGAGTATATAAAAACCAGAAGTGTACTTACCGTTTCGTATTAACAGTTTTCGATTTTAAGCGTTTTTGTTTAGCGATTTTAGGTACCCCTCCACTTCTCTTCCCTACATAATCTAAAGGTTGGAAACTTTTCGGCTGATTCCAACTGCAAGTCACTCTACTTCAGCTCGATTTTCCCGCCAAAAACGCGGTCTCTCCCAGATTCGTCAAAAGGGATGACCCTTCTCTTGCTGCAAACTACAGACCGATAGTTGCTCTGCATTGTCTCAAAAATTACTGGAACGTTGCATCTTTGATCATTCGTTATCTCCACGTGTCTCCATTTCTGTACCACCTTCAAGATGGATTCCTAAAAAGGAAATCAAATGTAACGCAGTTACTTACAATCTACCATGATATCGTGAAAAGTTTAGCGAGTGGTAAAGAAGTTGACACGATTCATCTTGATCTATCAAAGGCGTTTGATAAGTTATCGCATTATTTGCTTTTATACAAACTCCAGAGCTATGGAATCTCAGGCTCATTACTGCAGTGGTTTCAGAGCTATTTGTGCAACAGACAGCAGCGTGTCGTCTTGGATGGATCCTTCTCTGACCGGTTACCCGTAACATCTGGTGTTCCACAAGGCTCCATACTTGGACCACTAATCAGGACCATTAACTGGTTCTACTCCACGACTTGGGGGAGCTTCCTTTCAGGAACTTAGCATCGCGAGTAAAAATCTTTCCAGATTCAGCATGTATCAATTCAAAATTGTCTGCAGCCTTTCTTCTGAAGGTTTTCCCTGTAATTCGGTGTCTTTCTTTTGGTCGGTATATATCGTACCATCCCCCGTTTGGTAGTTTATTTGTCTAACAAAAGTCGTTGTCGAGCGAGTCTTGGTGGGGAAGACGCGGTCCTCCGAGGTAACTAAGGGCACTTGCTGAGGAAGTGTTGTTGGTCTGCAAGGCCTGCTTCTTTGCAAAGGAGGCAGGACTTATATAGGACGTGGAGCTGCTGGCGAAGCTCGTTATGAACTTCCCGCCAAAGTCTGGAACTTGGTAAGAGCTCTCAACCGGAACCGTTCCACAAAAATTCGTTTGTCTATGCAGCTTTTAAATACTATGACAAGTACAACAGACAAAGAGCATGAAGGAACTGAGATGGTACTTCACGCGAGAACACTGAAAATGATCACTTCATGTGAGGACATTGATGAGGATACTGAAGATTTGGATAGCGGCGAAGAAACTGACATTGTTACTCATGAAATAGGGATTACTGATAGTGAGGAAGCCGATGACAGAGAGAAAGAAGAAGCCGAAACAATGTCAATGTCACAAGAAGTGGTAGACGTGTGCAACTATGAAAATTCTTTTGGGATTTAGATTGAATAGAGGTAAATCCTCTTTTCAGGGGTGGGCCATCTGCAATTTTGCTTCTAAACTGGGGTTGGGTCATCACATTTTCAGCATCATTTCATAATGGGCCAAGATAAAAAA